CTTTTCGCATCTCACAACTTCATTCCTGTCCTGCACAAGAACGTTCGAAAGGATACTGGATTGCCGACTGTACGTTGTGATCATTCTCATTGCACCTCGATTCCCCCCCTGACGATCTCCCCACCCCTTCACAGGGTTCGTGCCTGTACTCCTGTTTCCACATTCCGGAGTGCCCATAGGCTTGCCAGTCCAAGAACCGGTTCCTAGGGCGAAGGCGTTCAGTCGCACTTCGTCTTTTGAATTGGTATCCTCCAGAGTTCATCTCGCCGGGTCATTCTTGCGTCTTGGCCCTGCCTAGATGCCAGACACGCCGTCACGGTAAGGGTTGCATCGTGCCCTCTGCCCGAAGGCCTTCTATCTGGGTTAGTACCTTTTTATCCCCAGGGAGTCCCCCTTTTCACCCTCGACCTTTCTCTCTCTTCTTCCCTCCTTGGGCCTTCCTTTCTCAACTACAAGCCTTTCTTTAACATCTTATATTTCCTTTTACTTCTCTCTTTCTTGCATCACACTCTTTTTCACCCTGCCGTCGTTCTTTTTGTCATTATCTCTCTTTTCTAATCTTAATCTCACGTATACTAATTTTAACTTCATCTAGCTCCGGCCACTCAAAAAAAAGGCTTTCCACCAGCTGTCTGGCTATCCTTTCCCTTTCCAGTGCTCGGACTATCGTCATCTTACTGGACAGTTTCTAATATTTCCAACTAATTCCGTTCATTAATCCCCACACTTAATTCGGCGACTGTCACTCTCTGAACTCCGTCGTTCCCTGATAGACAACACCATCTATCAGATCCACTCTTTACACTAATCATTCGGATCGTTATCATCACCACCAGTCCGACAACATGGCCTATCAAAAGCGTCCTGCCTCTAGCTATCAGCCTTGCGATACATTCTTTGTGGAGTCGTATGACGACTTCCCGGCCCCTCGCATGGAACCAAAGGAGCATGCGAGACTGATTGCTCGAGAGCGTCAGTATGCCATTGCGGATGAACTTTCCAAGATTACTAGCGAAGAGTTCCGTGATGACATTCTGGCGCACATGCTGCACATGGATGTTAGTTGTAACTTGATTGGTTGTGGAGCGATTGTGGCTAATTTTGACCGTTAACAGACTGCCACCCTCCCTGACGTTGAGTCGATCGATATCCAAACCGAGATTCAATGGTTCATGCGTCCCTACCTGCTCGATTTCCTGATTGAAGCCCATACCGCCTTTCAGCTGCTACCGTCTACTCTCTTCCTGACCATCAACTTGCTCGACCGATACTGCTCGAAACGTGTTGTCTACAAGAGGCACTACCAATTGGTCGGGTGTGCGGCTTTGCTCATAGCTGCCAAGTATGGTGACAAGAAGGATCGTGTTCCGACCATCAAGGAGCTCAAGTCGATGTGTTGCTCGCTTTACGACGACGACATGTTCATTCAGATGGAGTGGCATGTGCTGCAGACTTTGGGCTGGACCATCGGTCATCCCACGGTCGACAACTTCCTGCAAATGGCTGTCATGGATTGCCCTTATGACGCAGAGGTTGAGCACCTGTCTCTCTACATCGCGGAAATCTCCCTGTTCCACCGGGAATTTGTCTCCAAGCCTTCTTCCGATCTAGCCAGAGCCTCCTTGGCTCTTGCACGGTGCATCCTGAACCGAACTCAGCCTCGTCACACTGAGTGGGCTTCTCAATACGACTCTATGACCCTAGTGGGATTGTCTCAGCAATTACACCAGCCCTCGCAGGTGCTCTCTAGAAAATACTCGTCGGCCCACTACTCGCGGGTGTCGAAGATCCTGGAGCAATTCCTCGCCCGCCAGGCCTCCGTCGCGAGCTACACGCCCCCTAGCCCGCCCTCCGATGTTGTTCCGGCCGAGTCTAAACCCTATGAAGGAGAGATTGGTCTTGCTACGCCCCAGAAGGCCCCGCAATCATCCACTATGGCTCACGGCTACATCACACCGCCAATTACTCCTGAAAACGAAGTCTTCGCCAACGGTGGTAATCCTACCTTTGCCAAAGGAGTAGCTGGCACTAGTGCCTGCTCACCATCACCCACCCCCTCCCCTAGTGTACCATACACGGGTGCTCCTAGCTACGCGCAGGAGGCTACATATCAACAACAATATCTCCAGCCTCAAATGTCGTTCAGCACCGGCTACTGAACTTGACCTGGCTGAAAACAATCTCCGTCAAATAGTATATCATCACCTCGCTCGATACCTAGAATCAATGTGCCTTGTGCCTTGTGCCATATTTGCCGTCTCTGGTTTACGATCTATCCTCGATCCGACCACAATCAATCTGCTGAGAAGGATTATCGTTTTTTCTTTTATCTCTCTCCACTATCCTCTTCCTTTGTTCCGTGTCTAAAAAATTGCATACCCATCTTTCTTCGCATACCATCTCTTGGGTCTCCCAAGTTGCATCTAGCTCGTTTGTCATCCTCTTCTATAACTAGCATTGCAAGCGCGAGCTGTTGAAATTTATTTGCATTTCACTGTGTTTTCTTTCTATTCCCCCGCCTCGAAGACCCAGTTTAGCAACGCAGATCATTGATTCTCTGCAGTTGCGGGGCTCGACACTGTTGTGCTTTTCCTCTTTGCTTCATTCCCCCCCACTTTACATTTGTCACTCGTAAAGAACATTAATGTGGCTCAAGCTCTGACCTCTCTTCCTCATTCGGGCGGGATCGTGTCCATGCTTTTGTTAGCATAACCATCCGCTTTCTTTTTGTGATGTCGCTGGATGAAGGAAAGAGGCCCCTTTCCAACAGAAAAAAAAAGCAGAAAAGAGCTCCCTGTCAAGTGCAAAACAAACCAGACACCCAAATATACACATCATATACAACAATAAAAAAAACCACAAGACAAGGGAGTTCGCGAAATCCAAAAACAAACCACCCCCACTACCCCATAGTTTTTGTGCTTTGAAATGCTTTGGGGGCGACTGCTTGCCCTTTCTACACATAACTCCCAAATACCCTTGCTTGCACCTTTTACCTACACCATACACTCTACACACTCCCCCACAGACTAGCTGCAGAACATACTAGCAAATAAGACAACAAGAGAGAAAAAGAAGAAGAGTGGCTAGATGGAAACAGATTTATTTGACGGAAAAATCGCTTCCGCTTCCCATCGAATACCTTTCCCTTTTTTTTGTGCCTTTCGTGTCTTTGCGCGTGGTATCTCGAATGGAAATCTTCTATACATACTACATATACATGATCATTTTCCATACGAATAATCAAGCTGAGCTCGTAGACTCATTTCCCGTGGTTATTGGCCCCCTTCATCGAGCGCAAGTATGGACTTGCTTTCCCTCTCGTCTGGTACTCTCCACATCCTGTACTTGCACTATGTTTGTCTGGTATGGCATTGCTATGCCTGTTGTTTTTGTGCGTTGGCAAGGTCGTCCGTGTATCCAGCCCGCTGTGGTCTCCCCTCCCGCTCCCTCTTCCCTTTCCCGGGCCTTCTCTGGAAATGCCAACGCCGGTAAATGGTGGTCAAAAGCTCTTACCTCCCATTCTCCACCTCCGATAATTCTATCAAGAGATCCCCCGTGGACAAAAACAAAACAGGCTACCGACTATCCCTACTACATCAACTAGAGCAGTTAGAAAGAAGTCAGGTACCGAGATCAACCATCATCGCTACATGGCTCACTTGACATGTGCGGAACCGAGGGTGGGATGGAAACGAAGCGATATTGACATCTGAGAACCCCCGGCCCGAGGCAATACACGATGGTCTGGCAAGACAAACCAACACAACTGCAAACCCATCAAGTACAGTCAGTACCCATAGAATGACCACTCCACCGTGACGATTTGACTTGATATGTACATGCTACGACGATGACTTTGTAATAGTGGAGTACAGAAGCTCCAAAGTACATACAGTACAACACTGTTTGCACATACACATAAGCAACAAAGTAATCGAGAATCTTCGCTGCCCGCTCCGTCCCATTCACCCCTTGCCTCGACTTTACTACGAGTACGCACAGCGGACATACTTATAGGTCCCAAGGTGATGCTTCAGTGGCAACTGTCGAATCGACTGTATTCTGCGATGTACATACAGACAGACATACATACATACATCCGGGCCGCAACCTCGAATAGTTCAACGCTGGGAAAAAGGACGAATACTACAGAAATAAAAAGTGGCAGAACTCAAGACCAGCCAATTCATAGAACGCCAGTTGTAATTTCCCTTTAAATATCTACCAGAACCCGATTGGTCAGAGAAGATCGATCGGACCATGTTTCATGCAACAACAAAAGAAAAAGAAGAAAAACGGCAACAAGAAAACTTAGAATAAAGAGACCCAGAACCCGCTGATTTCGGCTGAATACGGCATACATATCGTGACGCATCAAAAGTCTCGTTGCAGTGTTCAAGCGTGGTGATGGATGATGGATGATGATGATGATGGGTGAACCGTGATTTATCATAGCAAGGAATTGAAAAACAAAAGGGCGATTCTCGCATCGTCTTCATCTTCTTCCTTGTTTTCGTTCTGGAGTCATGAAAATCCCCCTCTCTTCAAGCAAATGAGTATTGGCAGTTGTGGAACGACCGTACGGTCTGTTGGACCATGTATGGACAGTCTAAGGTCTGTCTGTCTGTCAAGGACGCGTGTTTCGGAGCATCGGCTCGCTATGCTGTCGATTCTGAGTAACATGAAAGATGACGAGCCTGGCATATCCGACATCTGCCAAGCCGAGGATCGGATGAATGGAGAGAGAAATGAGTCGGTAGAGCCAGGATCACTGCACTGCAGTGGGGTTCCTCAGGCTGGCGCCCGAATGTCGGCGGGATAACTGTGGCGCACCTGCCGAATTGGCGGTGATACTGTGCTAGCCCAGCCGGTGGCCAAAGGCTGCACTGCCGATAGCGAATGATGGGCACTGGTCAGTTTTCGTGGTGTAGGGTCCGGGTATCTTGATGGTGACATATGGCGGATGATGATCGCTTGGCATGCAATTACCAGGACCTCTAGTAGCTTTGTGCCGAGACAATTGCAGGCTGCAGACGTTAGCATTGTAATCGAGTCAACGTACCAGTGCAGAAGAAGCAAGTATCGTCCAAGGTACAGATGCCTCGGCATTGTTACACAAGGGTGTAGTTTCTGGGCTTGGCGAGAACAAACGAACAAGCAAGGGACGACTTACAGGACTGCTGAGCATGCTGTTCCGCTTGTTCCGGCCCTTCTTAATATGGTTCTTCAAGGCCGTGGAATCCAACGGTTTCAAGAGTTCGAAGCTACACAGTAGTTCACCTGAAACAGACATGATGGCTCCCCAGTTATCGAATTCACCGCAATACTAAATCCAGAGACAGTCAGTATCATGAAAAGCATTGACACAAATAGACTTCGAAATATACTCACGTTAGGCGCAGAGAAGACAGTAACCAGAATACGGTCCTGATAGAATTCATAGCCGTCCTCGACCACCATGTGCGCTCGACACACCAAATCAAAGTCATGCCGTTGCAGGAAATTCATGATGACCTGCTTGCCGAAGCAGTAGCTGACACCACGCTCGCTCGGTTCCCAGTCTTCCTCCATGTCTGCTGGATCACTCCACAGAAGATCGTTCAGCAGTCCATAGTCCGGTACGTCGGTCGGGCGGGCGATACCTCGGATGTCATCCATATGGGAAAGACTCGGCGACAGACCACCATGGACACAGAAGATCTTGCCAGCAACGATCGCAGCAATTGGGAGGCAGTTGAAAGTATCGATGAATGTTTTCCAAGTCTTGATGTTGCAACGCCGTTTGCACTCGTCATAAAATCCATACACGCGAGTGACGTTGGCACACTCGTGGTTGCCACGCAGGAGGAAGAAGTTCTCGGGGTACTTGAGCTTATAGCAGAGCAAAAGCAGAATTGTTTCCAAGCTCTGCTTTCCACGATCCACATAGTCACCCAGAAAGAGGTAGTTTGAGGCCGGGGGGAACCCACACATCTCGAACAGCCTAATGAGATCGGTGTACTGACCATGGACATCTCCGACAATCTTGACGGGGGCCGACAGCTCCAGAAGAGCGGGCTGGGAGAGGAAGAGTTCCCGTGCGGCGCTGCAAATGGCCACGATCTCTGCATTCTTCAAGCAAACGGTCTTGGTAACCTTGGTCGAGTAGCCAGCATCCAGGAGTCGTGAGATCATGTCATCCAGGTCGATCGACTTCAAAGCACCCATTCCCATTCCCGGCGATGAGGATGTTTCGTTGTTCATCGGGGTGTTCATGATGAAGTCCAGAATCGGGTTCAGCTGGTTCTCCCTCTTGATGAGAATCGATTCGCCAACTTTCTGTGTAGAAGGGCCCTTGGGGGCAACACCGGTCGGGGGAGCGTCTGACACGAGGTCAACCTCCCCACTCTGCTGCATCGCGTTCACATCTTTATGGCCTCTTTGCAGACTGGTCGACAGGGACGGCGATGGAGGAGGTTCCAATGAGTCGGTTTTTGAAGCGGCATCGTCAGCAGCAGGGGACTGAGGAGCGCTCAGGTTGGTAGAGCTGCGCCTACTTGCCGCGGATTTGATCGAGCCAGCATCCGACTTATCGGTCTGGCTTTCCGTCTGATACAGAGCAGATGTGGAGGCGCGGGGACTGTCGCTGCTACGAATCTTAGAGCGGATCGAGCCACGAAGGGAGCGAATGGATTCTTTGGTGTCAGAGCGAGAAAAGGATGGATACGATTGCAAAGAATCGCCAGGGCCATTATTGCCCTTGGAATGCGATTGACCCATTACTGCAACGGCAAAATATCTGCCAAGCTCAATCTCAGACGCCCGACGATGGATGGGGATTCAGCAGAGGAGCACCAAGCCCTGCTAGGTGCTGGAATGCTAGCAGGTGTCTTGGCCAAGTATACCTCCGAGGGTAGGTTTGGGAGTTATAAGGAAGAGGAAAATCTTTCGCTGATGGTGGAGTCGACAGGTCAGTAAATTGTCACGAGGGCAGTTGATGACCACAAGACACGGCGATGGGAAGCAGTAGTCGGAAACCGGGCACGATCGATGTTTGGTACGGGATAAGGGATCCAGCCCTTCGAGGTGACGCGAAGGAAAAGGGGAGTCGAGTTCGATTAATGGCGCAGAAGGAATTAAAGGCAGGAATGGATGGACATCGAGTTTGGGGGAGACGAAAGCATCAGCCACCGAGAGCTAGTCGTCGGAAGGATAAGCTCCGATTCGCCGAGGAAGCTCCTAATTCGCGACCGTTAGGAGTTAGGAGGGGAGGACGAAAGGGCAATGACGGGGCGGCGGGAAGATGCAAGACAAAAATGAACACTAGTTCATGGCAATATGCATTCGAGAGAGACACTAGAAACCTGGGGGAAAGGGTTGCATGTGGAGATAGGCGGTAGGTAGTAGGTAAGATGTTCAAACGGAGAATTTAGGTAAAGTTTGGGGGGGGGGAATCTGTGATCTGTTTCTGACGGGGGGCGGGTGTAGTAGAAGATGTGGGAGGGGAAAATGATAAGAGTTGTGGAAACGGGCAAAGATGCGTCATCACGACGGGGGGGTGGGTGTGGCAGTGGAAAGAATGGGGGGAAAACCAGACCAGATCAAAATACTCACTCTCACACACAAGCCACAGAGGATAAGGTTGAGACACCTGAGCTACTGGAAGGATCAATACCGATGATGATAGTGTAATAGTAGCTTGTTGGTGGTGGTGAAGGAAGAAGAAGAAGAAGGCGAAGAGAAGAAAAAGAGAAACAGAGAAAAAGAATTACTAGGTAACTTAACTAACGGTGTGGAAAGAGAAGGCTGGAGTGAACTTACTTTACTTGTAGACTAGTTGGTTAGGTTAGCCTTAGCCTAGTGAAGAGTGTAAGTTCTCGCCTCAAGACCCAGGCCTGACTTTTCCACTCAGTTAGTCTACTACTTTGTACTGTACTTAGTACAGTACGTTAACAGCTCGGTTCAGTTCGCTTTTGGTCTCGAATCCTGCAGCCAACAACGGGTGTGGCATGTCCGGATTAATCGGTCGGCCCGGAACGGGGAAGCTTAAGCCAGAGAGCTTTTGTAGCAAGTAAGTTGCCTGAGGAACAGGAATGGAGCTGCCTGGATGGTGGGTGGGTGGATGGATGGATAGATAGATGGATGGCGGATAAATGCTTCAGCAGAACTGGTACTTGTGGTAGTGAAAGTACGGTATGAGGAACCGCCTGCTTATTATAGCATACACTCATACACTCAGGTATGATGATGCTGATGATGCTGATGCTGATGCTGATTTGTTCTTAATTGTGGATGATGGTGTGGGGGTCTTTTGTCACTGTCCACACAATCTTATCGCCTCAGGTCAAATCTTACTTCGATCCAGACTGTCTGAGTCCCCATCCGACTTATTTATAACACTGGTCACTACGGTGAGATCGTCGATGACATTATAACTATTTCATTCTCCTCGATCCCAACAAACTTCTCATGAGATCTAGAGCACTTATCGAACTTGAACACTGCTGCTCTACGTAAAAGGCACATGGTTGATCTCTTCCCACCGCGTCCACCCCTCCAAGGCCTTGGCTTCGTTCCTTTTCCCTAATCATAGGTTCTTCGTTCTTGGAATGATGCATGGAGATTTCAATTCTGCCTGGATCCTGGACGCATCAATCGTCCTCGGATGATCACCGACAGTCAGCCTCCAGAACGCTCCGACCACACCCGACTCGCCGTCCGGAGTGATCCACTCGAGGTGGCTAGATATAGATACACAATGCCGAACTACAAGCCATAACCTTGTTGTTCCACGATGGCAATATCGTCTCCAACCCCTCGCGCGGCCATCTAGCCCGCGTTCGAGTGGAAGCAAAATTGCGAAGGCAAGTATCATGCGCTGCGAGATACCCTTTAAATCCCCTCAATGATGCAACAGTCAGCGGTATGCCAACAGTCAGCGGTATGCCAAACTGCAGGAACACCGCCATTTCGACCACAGCCCCGTGGTGCATGGTCACGACGGTGGCTGCTGCTGCCAAGCCCATGCACCCTGCGCCAAGCACCAACGACTTTGTCTGAGTATTTCTCCTAACCACGTTGTTGTTGTTGGAGTGCTTGAGGGCTTTGCCTTGGCTCGCACAGCAGCTCAGCTGGGGAACAGGGAAAACCCTTATTCTTCTTTAAGGGAGCTCCTCCCTGGAAGCGAGGCATATGTGGGCCTTTGGCACAGGGTCAACGTGCAGGCTGCTTCGGCTCTGTGCGCTACTCATGCGTCTCCTGGATCACCATGAGGTCTTCACCCCCCTCCCTTCCACGAATTCTATCTCAAATCCTCCCCCTTCGCCCCATCATCATCCCAGATAGCATGAGTATAGTGTAGTGTTCGTGTTCGTGGCTTGGAGCATCTCGTGCCGCCGGGTAGTCAAGCTTCCAGTAGTCTGTCTTTCGATAGGAGATCACAACCTCATTATGATCGGAGTGTCTCCCGCATACGACCCAGTTGCGGGGTCTCTTCCAACTCAATTTTAGTAATATGTTGACCGGGGACGACCACCAGCCCGATAAACCGACTAGTCATGGACACCTTGATATTATTCTGCGCGATCCCCGCGCTTTCTGCGGCTAGCTCATTCGCATTCGTGGCCGCGTCTCGAACGGCGGAGGGAGAGGGATGCCGGTACTCGTGAGTATTGGCCAGGATGATATTTCGTGCCTAATGCAAGAAAGAGAGACAACATCAAGTCAGAACCAGAACCCCAAGTTGAACAGCGACCCCAAATAAAAATCAATAAATAAAAATTCTCGTATCTTTTCCGCCAACTCCGACCCCAACAATTTATTCAAGTGAAGAGAAAGAGAGCACTTACCGCATCGGTACACTTGAAGGTGCCCACGAAAATGCGCGTGTCTGTCGCGTGCACCCGGAGGGTTCGACCGATCAAGGAGTCCAAGTATTGCACTGCCGTGTTCTCGTCCATGATTTGTATAGCTCTCTTCCTTTCTTTTTTCTCTCCGCTTCCTTTCGGTTTCTAATTGAACTTGTCCCAGGCGGGCTAACCAGCTTGACCTCACAGATGAGAGAGGTCGGGGGGGGGGGGGGTTGAATGCGACCACTCGCAGGAGAGAACTTGGCGGTCTGGACTGTTCTGCGTTGGCCGATGCTAAACGAGACTCGACTCGAGAAGGTAACAGTTGCCTGGGGCGCAGTAGTCGGTCGGAAAATATTTAGGCGGGATTTATATCTTCAGCTGAGGCGAAGGCTTTCCTCGAAGCTAAATGGAGCGTGTTCCGGTTGGGTGGTCCCAGGTTAGTCCTCGGAAGGAGAAGTGGTCACCCCAGCGTAGGAGCCGCTGGAGACCTTAGGCATTACTGCTCCTCCCCCGCATGTGACACCCGAAACTGAGCGTGTGACTACCATTTGCTGTAGCTTCAGCCACCTATTGTTCGTCAAAAAACTTTATTTCTTCTATCAGTTCGCGTGTGGAATCAAGAAACTTGGTTTCCTCAACATATTGTTAATTATGCTCAAGCCTCCTCGTGTCTTGTACACGTTGATAAAATTCCAAGACTACTGAATAACACGGAACTGCCGAAACAATACTAGGTGTTGTCTCTTATGGTACTGATCGGTCCATTCAGACAAATTGTATAAGACATTGATTCAGTTATTCCCCGCTGAAGCTCTGTGTTCTAATGCGCAATAGTATTATGTAGATACAATTCACATAGAGGCTGCGTCCGAAGCCGCGGCCGTCTCAGCCTTCCAAGCCACATCAATAATGCAAACAGGGCCAGAGACATTCAAGCTCGTTTCAGAGCAAGAACACGGCTTCTCAATTGAAGCTGTGAGTATACAAATGAGTGACGTCATGCAGTTGTTGTCCAAGACAAGACGCATCAGCTTGGGGTCTGAATAGGACCGACGTGACCAGCAACAGCCGGTAAGACAACCCCAGTGTACGAAGTGTAAGGTTTGGTATCATCGCTAATTGAAAAGAGATTGTCGATTGCGACATAGAAGAGATCAGGTTCTTCGTTTGGCGCTCAGAACCTAGGGTGTCCCATCCAGGCGAGTCCGCCAGCTGGTGCTCTGGACGAGCAGTTCGACTCATCACTAGCCGACTCCATGTCGACATCCATATCAGTATCCGTGGTCTGAGAAGCAGGGCTGAATGTATCGCTATTCATTGAATGTCCCGGAGGCGAAATTGGCATACTGTGAAGGTGCACAGGTGTCGCGCCAAAGAACGGAGTATCGCTGGTCTTCGGCATAAGGTTGTTCGGGTGCGATTTATTGGGGGATGATTGGCAAGGACGGAAGAATTTGAGTAACGTCTGCTGGCGCGGGTCGACCGTCTCAAGGGATAGTGTTGGTTCGTGAATCATTTGTTCTTCCTCATCTGCAAGGGGAGCGGCTCTTTGTTGCTGTTGGGCTGTGAAAAGCCACCGAAGTGTGTTCTCTGAAAGGTGTAAGTACAATGCCAGGACGATGCGAGCAATCAACAAGCCTTACCATATACAACTTTCTCTTCTGGGCGGTCGTTCCTGAAACGCTTTCGTGTCCGACTATTCAAATGCTGTGGTGGTTCCTCCCCCTTCCAGAAACCCCCAATCGAACCGAAAGGGGCATTTTGTGATTCGAGGCTTGGAAATGAAGCTTTGCGTTTGAGGGACATGATGATGACTTGAGGTCTCAATTGCCGATTGCAAGGTCGATAGTGTATCGTCCGGTCGAGCAATGCGATGTTGATCGAAATAGTATATATACGAACGTTAGGGGATCAATTGGGAAGGATGGACCTGGTGGATAGATGAAGAACGAGGTAGAGCAGCTCTTCTAATATGTATGCTGAGGAGGAGAACAAGGCTGGGGTAGAAAGCCTTTCCGGGCGTGGTTGGTCGAGACGCTGGCGCGTCGGATCGCGGAGAAAATGAAGGCGAGACCGCGTCGCACTACATGAAATATGCGCTATTCCTATCTGGGGGTAAATTGACTAAATCCCGTTTGTGTCGATTGATTTCTCGATCTATACTTCACTGCCCTGAATAACTTGACTATTAGCATTTATTGCCCCCTTTATAGGACTTTAGTGAGCACATGGATTTGGAAGCTCACAGGTTTAATCCTGAAAGGAACAGTGATTTCAATAAGGCGCATATGCAAAGGTGGTGCTCTAATCTCAAATTTAGGACAGACGTATGAACTATGCCGAGAAGAAGACCAATATTTTCTTTCCTGTACCTTGGATCGGGCTTCAATGAGCGCTACCAAAGGCATGCAACTACTGGTTTCACGATCATAATTGCTATGGTTGTATTGATTTCCTAACCTGGATTACTTGAGGCCTGCCATATGGGGGTACCACATAACATTTGAGGAATGCCTGACCTACAATAACCTAAGACTCCATCAAGACATTCGATACTGACCTCGCAATGTGTATAATCGATCAAATGTTCATAATGTGTATAGAATGATCGGCATGCCGCCTTCGGCATACCGGTGGAGGAAAGACTCAAGTGTTGATACCTGAGCGAGGCAAACTCCGCTGTTTTGTGCCTATGACGAGGGGAGTCCCACTTCCCCGCTTCTGCTTCATCAAGCTGTCTGTGAGACTCTGACCGACCGACAAACCACCTGCAACTTAACCAGATCTTATACCCTCTTCGTCTACACGCTTCGGTCTAGGGCCCAGATAGTCAATCTACAGTTCTAATCTAACTTCTTATCGCTATACTCTTGCAGAGGAAGAAAATCAGCTCAGCATGCCGTCTCGCGAAGCCACTCATGCTGGTTCTTGGTATTCCGATAGCCAACATACCCTGACGCGTCAGTTGGACCAGTGGTTGGCTCAGGTCCCAGACGAGATACCGGGTATCGGATCACTGCCTGTGCCTGGTGCTCGTATCATTATCGCTCCGTATGTCCAAGCTAATGTGACTGTTCATCTTTTAACAGCATGCTGATTCCCCAGACATGCGGGCTATGCATACTCCGGGCCATGTGCGGCCCATGCCTATAAAGCCCTGGACTTGTCAAAGGCGTAAGAATCAAGAGTACCCCAATGCCAACATAGACTCACTTTAGTCGCAGAAAACGGATCTTTGTGCTAGGACCCTCTCACCATCATTATCTGACGACACTTGCTCTCCCCGAGCTCACATCATACTATACCCCGCTGTCCGATGACCCTCTACCGCTCGATACCGAGCTTATCGCGAAGCTCCTATCAACCAAAGCCGTCAAGCGCAATGGAACGAACATCTCGTTTACAACGATGAATGAGTCCGTCGATGAAGCGGAGCACAGTATCGAGCTCCATCTGCCCTACATCCACCGTCTTCTTCAACTCCAGCATCCCAACGAGCCGACATCCCAGTATCCACCGCTAGTCCCCATTATGGTGGGAAGCACTACGGCTGCGACCGAGGAAGCCTTTGGGACCCTGCTTGCCCCCTATCTGCAAGATCCCGAGAACGCTTTTGTCATCAGTTCGGATTTCTGCCACTGGGGGTTGCGGTTCCGGTACACCTACTACGTTCCCCATGCGCCCAAACCAGGACCGAGTCTCCCACTCTCGGCCGACTCGCTTCCCCAGCCTGGAAACAACAACCACAGAGACGTAGAGGCAACCGTGGAGTCGGTATCCACCGGCCACTCGCTTCAGCGACGGGACCGTGTCCAGCGCCACGAGCCCGCCATCCACGAAAGCATCTCTGCGTTCGACATTGCAACCATGGCGGCCATCACCACGGGACGTGCGGCAAGCTTCCTGGACGCAGTCGAGCGGACGGGAAACACCGTGTGCGGCCGTCACCCCATCGGGGTCATCATGGCTGCCCTCGAAGCAAGCACCAGCCAAGATGAGGGCAAGAAGGGCAAATTCCACTTCGTCCGATACGAGCGAAGTGCCGATATCACGGATGTGAACGACAGCTCGGTGAGCTATGTCTCGGCTTTCGCGGTGCTGTAGACTCCACTTCTCTCGTGTGTCGTCAATTGATATCATCGTCATGAACAACCTAGAGTAGTCAACGTGGTCCAATTTGCTGTCAAGTGCTCATCAACTAATATTGATCTATGCATCATTTCTATACCTATACATTCAAGACTATCTATATATGCGGACGGCCATGTCGGGTGCAATGATTCCGAGTTTGTCGGATATAATTCGTTTGAGATGAAGGATGCTGATGCATGGTGAGTCAAAGTGAGTGAACTGGTTTAGTTCCAGCCGTAGCATCAATTAAGTCCGTACGCTATCTCGACCATCCCCCATGGAAATAAGCGCTGCGGGCCGCCCCTCTGAATAGGCCTTCAATCTGGGCTAGCCTGAGCGCTAAGGCATGGAGTGCCCGGGGATCATTCAGTGTGAGCCACCATAACTCCAGTCTCCATTGACGCTTTTCCCCTTCGGTTGGGTCCGTTCCGATATCTCATCCTTCTCCGTCTCGTCGTCTCTCCCCGTCTTTTACTATGCAAGATTGCTCTTTACTCAGAAGACTCACGCCAGGAAAGTCAACAATTTGTAAAAAGGATATCACGGCAGGCCGGGTCGCTCCGGGTCCATCCGGGTCTATATTCAGACTCTCATCTTACAATTTGGGATGCGTGGCTGCCTCCAGAAGCCATCAGTGCCACAACCTGACCACGTCGCCGATTGATTCAATTGTATGAATTCCCCAAAGAATGACTGTCGTCAATGACTGCGGCATCTTGCCTCCGAGTTCCTCTAGCAGTACTCTCACAGTTGTCTCTGCTGTCCATCCGGCCAGTGACAAGCTCGTCTCAATACCAATGGAGTCCCGGCCTTTCAAACGACGCAGGACCAGGCTAGCATCAGAACATATATGAATGAAAAGCTCTCAGGGGCCCCTATCTAGCCTCGCCGGGTCAGTCGACTACCAAGATCCGGCTGAATACTCTCAAGCTATCGCAAGTCACAACGATGATGAGCACGAGTCACAATGTCCCAGCAATGCGGGTGCGACTGGGCTGGTGAGCACCGGGCCCTCATCGCTGTACGATCCAGTCATGTCTGTGACAACAAGTCCGTGACACGGGCATTCTATGCTGCGACTGCCGCGGCGTGCTGCGGTGTCTTTGGAGTGGCCGCGCTGGCGTGGATCAACATGAAGGCGAAGAAGAAGCCGGAGGGAACTAGTGCGTGGGATTTAAATTAGGGCGCTACTTTTCTGGAATAAATAGAAAGAAATGAATAACGATGTTATGACTCTCACCATGGATGAGGATGTGATCTATCCAGCGACAAGAGTAGTCAAGTGCCGCGTGACACTCTTGGCAACTCCAGGAAAGGAAATCACAAAAGAAGATAAGGCGATAAGACAGATGCCTGACGAGGCAGGGATCATTGAATGAATATGAGTAGTTACTGGGAGTGGGCTATTCAAGGAAGACAATCCAGCAGGAATTACTCCGCTTCTTTCTCCGGCGGGATTTTGATTAGGCGACGAGGCTGTAATCTATCTCCCTTTTCCCTTTGCCAGGCAACAAACAATATCCGACATCCGCCGAACTGAGCGACTGCTTATCGCCGTGTTATCTTTCTGTCATCTCCTTTCTACTGTATTTAGATGAAATGGAAGGTGAATCTCACCTCACCGACTTTCCTTCTAGATGATATGTCTTCCTCACCTTTCCATATATAACTGTGTCCCTCATGCTAAATCTCCAAGTATAATTCCAGCATAGACTCTTTCCTCCCCCATTCTCACGATGAACCTCCTCTCCGGTTAAACGCAGGCGCTTACATTCGGATCCCTCCCACTCTCTCCCCCCATTCCCCTCACTAACCCCCGCAGCCACGTACGTCGAACAAGATCTCGCGTGATTTCTAGATCGTTCGTGTGGCTCAAATCAGCCCCAGTATACAAGCTACTGGGCATTACAGGCGCGTCAGGCAGATAAACCAACCTTCCGAACTTATCATCAATTGGAAATCATGGACTATTGACAGTTGTTGCTGTATTTTTTTTGCGGTCTCGCTCGTTCAATCTTTTGGTACAGCATCAGCTTGGTATACTGTCTATACTCGGGTCCAGATTCTACGGATCACCATGGCCAGGATCAAGCAGGGGATCTTCTCGTGGGAGGATGTACTGGCGCAACGGTATCAGAGTGAGTCGTCGACGCCCTACCCGACTTACCCTCATTCTTAGTAGCATGCTTCTAATTCATGATTGTCATGTTCGAAGGCAATAAGCCAACCGCCCTCCCTCGGACCCGGCGATCCAGCAGCGCCCAACAGGGTCAACGTGCGTCGCAGCCGGAGCAGCAGCCGCAGCAAAAGCCCGACACTCGGGGCGAATGGAGCTTCCAGCGGGACAGCGCCCTCCTCGCGAAGCTGTCGCCGGAACTGCGCATGGCGATCTGGGAGCTGGTGCAGGGCGGGATGCGGATCCATATCGTGCAGCGCGCGAATCGACGAATGGGGCATGTCGTGTGTCCCGAGACGAGTGGTGGGGGTCGAGACAGGGTGATGGTCCGGGGGTGTGAGATCTGCCAGGGTGGGCTTCCCAGCGCGACGAAAGCTGCGAGCATGAGGACAACAACGGCGGCGGCGACGACGGGGCTTCTGGCGTTGGCGTTGACGTGTAAGCAGATGTGTGTGCTATCCCTTGACCTTAACCCCAATTCCTACATCTGACACAAGAAAAACAGCTACACCGAATCCATCTACACCCTCTACACGCTCAACACCTTCGAATTCAGCAACACCTGGTCCCTGACGTACCTGCGGCCCACGATCCCCGCGGACTTCTGGGACGCGATCCGCGCCGTCGAGCTCCGCTGGGCCTTTCCGGGCCACTGGCTGCCCAGCAAGGACCCCGTCAAGACGGTCTACTTCGCCGCCGGGCGGCAGCAGTGGGTCGAGACGTGCCAGGCCGTCACACGCATGCGCAACCTCCAGACCTTCACGCTGCAGCTGCCCTGCAGCTGGTTCGGCGAGCCCGTCGAGAAGCTGCCGTTGTTCCTGGAGCCGCTGCGCGGGCTGCACCTGCCCCGGCGGCGGTGGACGCTGCAGCTGCCGCGGCAGCCGTACTATGTGCAGGAGGTGGGGAATATCGATGGGGAGTTGCGAGAGAGGGGGATTGAGTGTTGTGTTTGGGCGGTGGGGGAAGGGGTGGGGGGTGGTCGGTAGGTGAATCAAGGCCTGTGGCAGAAGAAGGGGTGGGTACGAGGACTTAGGTTTGTTGTAGGTGACCCATGTATGTTTTCTTTAGCGAGTAGCGTGTGCATGAGCATGTACCTGTGAGCAAGTTACTTAAATTTCTGGCATCAGATGCATTAGTTGGGTCAGATCATCGTACGAGCTTGGAGACTTGACCCATGTAAAATACTAGGTAGTAGCTCAATTGACTGGGAGGGAGTTGGTTCGGCTGGTTCATCCCTTGTTTCCATCCCCCCCCCACCCCTCCGGCGACTGCTGTTCAGGTATATTGTCTATTCACCAACAAGGAAACCACTCAAGTACCAGAACAATAGCAATGAGTCAATAACGTAGACTACATATGAATAAGTACACAAGACAAATGGCCAAGAACATACCCACATCTCTCGTCCAAGAAATAGGCACTACCGAGTACGCCCGAACGCCACCAACATAACAGTTGATCCGTCTAAAGGTATACATAAAGATATATATATATATATGCTGCTGTATTCTACATCTATATTCATCAACAGCACCAAGGAATAGTTCATACCATCTCGCCAACACAACTCTTCCAACCCACTTCCACTTCCATAAAAGAATACCCAACTGCTGGACACTACCACTCCAATGACCCAGACAAATTTTCTCATCTTCACTAATCACAACCAAGGAGATAGATAATTACAACAACGAGAATAACAACCTAGGGAGTACCCACCCATACTCCACCCTACAAAGACACTGACTATTAGCACCACCGCCCAAGCAAAACACTAGGTATACCCCTAGACCATCCACCGAGTCCCGTCCTGTCCCAACCAATACCTCCATAGCCCACGCCCACGCCCACACCGCACCCTAGGAAACAGCACAAAACATCAACATCCCCACCGACAACACCAATCACCTTGACAAGGTGATGAACGCCCCTATCCCCACAAAGCAAGAATACTTGCCTCACCATGGAAACCACCCCCCAACATCAGCATATCAATAGGCCAGTAGCGAAAACCCAAAACTTAAAATCTATAGTGCGGATTCCTATGCCGCCGGAGGTATGTGAGCTAACCTTCTCGGGGGACGGGGAGGCGAACCTTCAATCTAGAAAGAAAACAAAAAGAGAGCTGTGGGGGTAGATTGGACCTATCCGAACGAAAGAAATAGAATGGTACCTGGGAGGGTAGCTTCCGACCTGGCAAGCTAGACCTGGTAAGCTAGATCGTACCTGGCCGGGTTAGCTGCAGGGGGAAACGATAATAGACAGACTGTGGAATTTGAGGGAATGGGAGCTAGCTAGCTAGTACCTGCTAGTAGCGAGGGGTTTTGGGTCTTGGGTTTGGGTCCGGGTGGATGCCTTGGGTGCCTGGGGGATTTATCTTGGTAAGGTTGGAAAGTTGGTGCTTGTTTTCATGGACTTTGTTGTGGTTTTGGGGGCGCTGGGTTAATGTTATGGGATTTGATATAGAGTATACGTCTCGTTTCTGGGTTGTATGGCTAGAGAATACGGTTTCAGACTGTGTTGGTTGGTACTGTGAGGGGGGTATTAAGGATCTGTGTGGAACTATGGAGAGGTGGAATATATATTGATGTGATGAATATAGTACAAAGCATTGTAGGGGCACTGGGGATGATGACCAGGACTGGAGACTAGGAGGAGTCTTTGGAATCAAGGTTTGGTATTGCATTCAGTGTCTACTACTGTCTACTGATGTTTACAGTAATCTGAAGCATATATTTGACCCTATGGTGAGCAAACTCATGAATCAAGTTAATTGACTGCATTATATCACAAACACAACAAGAGTCAACAACAACAGAGGAAGTACCGCTAGACTGGGCTCAGTCTGGAGGAATGTCCACTACATTCCATCGCACCCTCACTGAGGCCTGGACGGGTACCTGCACGCCAGGACAAAAACGACGGCTTGTGACAAGTGAGCCAAGTAAGCGTCGGAAGTAAGGGTGCAACTGAGTCCTCTGCCTGGGATATCAAGAGAGACTGTTAAGTGCAGGCGTCATCGTTGACTTCCAAAAACTTGATGGAGCGGAAGTGATCTGCATCGAGTGTTAGGCTCAAGAATACACCAAGCTCGAAGTGGAGGCCGAGGGTTGGCTAGACAACAAGCTCAGGCATGCTGCGGAGAGACAGCGAGAAGCTGCTCCGGACGGCAAATCGGAGAAACAATAAAGAGGACGCCGTATGAGGTTGACCGTCCTCCCGGGCAATGTGTAATCTCCTAAAGAGCGTTAGGGTTGACGCCGGAATGCGCTTCGTCCACCCCAAGAATGCGATAGACCATAGAAAACACATTCCACAGCCCGCGGATGCAACAACAATAGAAGACGCAAAGAACAACCCCACTTCGCTAGTGGATTGTCACAGTGGGATACTGAAGGTGGTAGTTTGTTTGTGTAGTGTGTATGTTGTGGTTTGATGGGTTGAGCGATTTGTGGCGTCTGCTGGCTTGATACTTATTTAGTTACAATGACAGCCGTCCGGTTCCAAAACTTTTCCCGACTTTTAGCTTCACTACCGAAAATTGTTGCATGCTTGGTCGATGCTCGTACACCCAAACTAAGGACCAACGATGCGACTAAGAAACAGACACCATGGCCTCGGCCTTGCTAAGAGGCAACCTCAACTGGCCGATGCTTCTGGGTCAACCTGGTCAGCCGGTGGCGCCTCTGCCTATGGCACTAGCCAATGGTCCGGGGACAGCTCGGTGGCCGGCTCTGGACAGTGGGCAGGTAGTGGTGCAGCAGCCGGTGATGCATCAACAGCCGGGACAGCAGCCGGGACAGCAGCAGGAACAGCAGGAGAAACAGCAGCAGGCACAGCGGCGGGAACAGGAGCAGGAGCGGCAGCCGGGACTTCAGATGGCACAGGTACATGGGCAGCGACAGGCCCAGTTGCCGCAGCGGACGGCACTACTGCCGTCGGAGCCACTGCTGCTGATGGCAGTGCGGCAGGCACAGCACAAGGGAGCACCGGGCAATGGACAGCAGCGGCAGCCACCGACCCAACCACAGAAGCCACCGCAGGCACTACAACAGCAGCTGCCGGTACAGAAGCTGCTGCTGCTGCTGCCCCAGTAGCTGCACAGGATAGCACTGCAGGGGGAACGGCCAACACGTGGGCAGCCCCCGCTAGCGATGCCGCGACAACAGGCGAAACAGCCGCAGGAATCGCAACGACCGACCCGAGTACTCAATGGAGTGCTGGATCTCCTAGCGCCGAGCCCCCGACTGCTGCCGCCGCCGCTCCAGTCGTAGGGGCTACAACTCTCGCAACAGCAGTGATTCCAACTGCTACGAACATTTCGAAATCTCTCCCCTCATCCACCACCAGCGAAGCCACTGCCAGCAGCACCGTCCTCTCAGCTGATTCAACAAAGCATGTGGGCACCCCTGCCGGCACGAAGGCGGCTATCGGTCTCAGCGTCATCATCGTCGTCGCCGCGATGGCAGGACTCATCCTGTGGTCGCTGCGCCGGAAAAAGCGCCGTCTCCGAGAAATTATTGCGAAAAGCCGAGGCGAGAAGGTGTCTGAAAGCCCAAGAACGAGTGATGAGTTCGCCAGGTATGCATCCAAGGTCTGCACCGAAGGGGCCAGCGCAATGCGTCAAGCGGGAGGCAAGATCAAGACAACATATCAATCCAAAATCCCCGTCCTGTGTCGCCACTTCGAGAATGCAAAGTATGAGCCGATCAAGGAGTTTAGTCGCAAGGTGTACTCGACAAGTGTGACCACACTGAAGAAGGTTGGCGGGTTCGTACATTCAACTTGGGCGGCCAAGGCCCACGTTCCCCGTCCTTACAGCACCTACAGCACGTATAGTACCAGCAGTCTGCAGCAAGGCTTGCGGGACCTTCCTAGGTCGGGCCACGCAAACGAGCTCGCCCCTGTTCTGGAGGTAACTGAAAGTGTCGAGAGCCCTACTGGCTCTTCGGAAACATTGGTCGGTGATGTCGGTCGCTTAAAGGATGCCGCAGTATCAAGCACGCCCAAACTGGAGACGGGTAAGTTCCCGGAGGCAAAAGTAGCAACTCTGGAGACTGTCACACCCATCTCCCCGGAATCATCAGGATCATCATCGTCATCGCCATCGCCATCGTCATTGTCATCAGCGAGCAGCAGCCCTTCAGTGTCAAGGAGCCCCACTGTCGACAATGTTTCAAGAAGCCCAACGGTGGCAAGTCGGACATATCCCGGCACGCCCGATATTTCCTTTGCCAGAGTGTACCGGGTAGAGATGGACTTCAAGCCTGTCAGCCCCGAGCATGTCGAGCTGAAAGAGGGTCAAACTGCCGTCCTGCATCTCGTGTACGACGACGGATGGGTGAGTCAATCCCTTCTCCACAATGTGCCATCGCACGTATGCTAATGAATCTCCTCCGCAGGCCCTTGTCAACGTCCTTGAAACTGCCCAGGAAGGTCTCGTTCCCCGAGCCTGCTTCGGCGCATATCCCGTGCGACACCAAGCCCAGTACATGGGCAGCAATCTCCAGATCTCGACCGACGGAATCCCCCGGTCGATCAGTTCTGCCACCCCCACGGAGTACGGTTCTGATGGTGACATCGGCCGATTCTACTCGCAGTGCGCGAGCCCGGACCTCCCCACCCCGGCGTCGCTGCACGAAACCCTGCCACGGCCTCAGCGTCTCAAGTCCCTACCATCTCTGGCAAGCTTGTTCCGCTCTGCATCAAGTTTCAAGAGCATGGTATAGCAAGCGCATCCCGTGGAGACTGAGGCCTGGTGCTGAAGGGTCCAATCCTTTCCTTTCTTTTTCCATTCTCGTGAATACTTTTTCCCCTAAATAGTGGACTGTCTTGTGGCATCGGACCAATTGTCTGGTGTGTCCGGTCTCACACGCTAATGCTCTGTATATATCTTATCCTGATAATATTCTTCTAATGAAGCTGCACAACCTGGGTGTGGCGACACATACCTGTGCAATCCGGATGCCTTGCCATGTGGGGTCGTAGCTGTCTACAGTACTTGTCCAATTTGCATGTCATCTCCTTCTCACAATCGAGTTCGTGAATCATCTCAGATTCAGGAGGAGAGCCGTCAGAGGAGAGACACCAGATGATCGGCTCAAGTCTTCAAAGTGGAACTAAATCTTAGCTGGATGAGTCGAGAAGTCCATTGCTTAGCAGTCTGCGGCACTATCAACACGGCGACTGCCGCACCGACACCTCGCCCCTCAGGCTCCCCACAGCAGCCAGCAGCTACTGACCGCTTTCCTCACCGCCACTGTCGGCAGAACGCCCGCCACCTCGACGGTGGAAACCCGAAAATCCACCAGTCACAGTCCCCGAAAACTGGACCGGGAAACTGTTCAATTTGGGCGGTGGCAGAAAACTGTCAAAGCGGCTCCCTACGCTCAGACCACTCGGACGTGTGCCTGCGGTCTCAGGCCAGCGGCCCTGTCTAACGATGTACTGCGCAGCAGTTTAAATCCGCTGTGTATGCGGGGGGACCCCTTCCCTCTGCTCCTCGCCTGTACACAGCACAAACTCTCCACACTGTTCTCCCCAATGACTTACTGACTACCACTTAGACAGACCGATTAGTCTTTATTTCTGTTTCGGTAATTAGGAACACCACAGATAATAGGGTATGTAAGAACAAAAGACAACCTCTGGCGTCGTGCCACTGACGACAGCATCTTCCAGCTGTCATATACACAGAAACATCCCTTGCCAACAACCCAACCTAATCCATACCACAAACACATCCCCAACTAGACCCATAAAGAGTATCTCTCATGCCCGGTTCAAGCTAAATCAGCCATATGAGCTTCCACCCCAAAGCCTACGCCGAATAGGCCATCTGCGGCGCCGCCTGATACCCCGCGAACTCCGGCCTCGTCCGCAGCTCCATCTCCTTCTCCTCCTGGATGAGAGCGCAGCACCCGCAACAGATGGTCGTGCAGCAGTCCCCGCAGCACGAGCCCTTGATGCCGAACCGCTCGCGCATCTCGCCTCGCCGGATCGTTTGGATGATCCACTGGGAGAGACTGAGGCCGAGACAGGTGAAGATGGCGCACTGTCGTTTACATAATTAGTCTACACTGCGATGGCCTTTGTGGAAGAGGGGAAGCGATGCTGAAGGCAGAGGAAGGGGCCTTCTTGTTGGTGGTCTTCGTGTCACTCACGTCAGTGTTGATGTAGCTGAAGTCCTGGAGCGTCGGGTCGTGGATGCGCGCTTGCGTCTTTCCGAAAGTAAGGCATGGGAGACACCAGCTTGTGAGGCCTGGGGTTTTCGGGTATTAGTGGTTGTTACTTATAACCCCAGGATTTGGCGGGGAGGCGGGGTGGTTCGCCGGAGAGGCAAGAACTCACATAATGCGCCGGGGGAGAAACAATCGCAGAGGGAATAATTCCATTCCTTGTTATGGGTGATGTTTTGGACTTGCTCGTTGTTGGCTTGGGTGTAGGTTGGCGGGTCGGTTGGCCAGGCGCGATAGATCTTTTGCTGCTTGGTGTCTGCCATTGTTGGAAGTAGATGATTTAATCTGTAAGGTTATTGTGGTTGGCCTCATGTTGGAGGGCAGGGGTCTGGAGTTTTATAGTGGTTTGCGAGGGTAAAGTCTTTGCTTCTGTGGATTAGGGGCGGCGTGAATTTGAGCTAAAATCATGGTTGGTATCATCTTTCAGAGAATATTCTATCTGGATGATGCTGAAGTTGAGCTGGAAAGGGAAGCTCGCATTCGTAAAGAAGCGGGACCGTTGGATGGACCCACTTGGTGTGTTCGTTCACTGCTAAGGTTGAGTGGGGCCGGTACTGTGCCTTAGAGTATGGATATAAGCTCATTCTACTATAATAGAGTCTTCGATCCAGCGCGGAGACTGTTGAGCTATAGGGCATTTGCTGCTGGCAATGTGTGCCACGGTTGTTGTGTGCAGTGTCAAGCTCTGGGACTGAGAAAAAATACCTGCAGAATAGAGGACCATTCACTCGGATGCGATGGAGTCAAGCCCACGTGCACCAAGGCTCCGTGTCTCTCCATGCCATGCGATTCCAGCTCAGAGAATCCCAGAGTTAGAGATAGACCATTTCAATCTGCTGTCGAAAGGTATCTTAGAAGCAACCACTATGCTTGTGGCTTTGCCTATCGGCCAATCTTCGTAGGTTCACAGAGAGATAAGACCGCATGCGACCTGCCAACTGAGCATCAACCATTGTCCATCCAGGTCAATCCTATTGTATCCCTCAAATCGAGTTGAGTTGTATAAGATGGGACTGGTCACCTCACTACTCATACAACGAGACTGGCTGGCCCATAAGCAGCAGCGGCGGCATCATTGTCTCCGCTAGGTATCCTATCAGTGCCTACAGGAACTTCCGGTGCCTGATCAACGGCTTTGTGACCAAACCATTGGCAATGTGACAGCCACATAATCTACCCAGCAATTTGTTCTTGTTGTCCATGCGATCTCTCTCTCTCTCTCTCTTTCTCTCTCTTTCTCTCTCTTTCTCTCTCTGTGTGTGTGTGTGTGTGTGTGTGTGCATAATCAAATAGCACTGCTATTTCGCCACTGATCTGTTTTCATATCTTTTTATTTCCTGGGGAGAATAGCTAGCGTCGGGGTGCTGCGTTCGTGAACATTACGCGACCACATTAGTATTTACCTGTTTCTACAGGCTACCCAAAATTGACATATGTACTTTGCAGCATAGAAGATCGGTTGGCATGCAGCCCGTTGCCTACCTATATTTGCACCTCGAATGAGCTGGATCGTGCTACCTATATGCCATGACAGGAAGTAAATTCATAAGCAGCATACACAAGGTAACTTGTGAAACACAAATCCTCAGGCAAACCTCGGATGGCTATGCTTGGCATTGGAGGTGAATATATTTGAGCATTATCTATATGTCTTAGACACTCGAAAGTTGTCGCCAGAATCCCCAACCTGTTTTGGTAGATATTATGAGACAGAACTGCTACAGCTTGAATATAGCAAAAGGAACATAATAGATATAAGCTAGTAGCACAACAACTACCAGGTTGTGTAGTGTAATGGTTAGCACCCAGGATTCTGATTCCTGTAATCCCGGTTCGATCCCGGGCACGACCTTTTTGCGTTTCTTTTTTTCCTCTTCGTAGCGTAGGCCCACTTGTGGATACTTAGGTCTTCGGTGGGTGCGCACTATAGACCCTGAGATTAGGGTTACGTACTCCGTAGTCGGGGTCGATGACATTGAGCGCCGCGGGCGTTACTCAGCACTTCCCCTTATCCCGTACCGCTTCAAGGCCAGAACCACTACCTACTCACTTTTTCAAGTGTCAACAATCATCTATCTACTCCCAATCCAATATTTACAGAGAAAGCCTATAAACAAGCCAGGCAGTCAGCCAGAAGATCAGGAACGTACCCCAACCCCCTCCCCTCACCTCAGAAGTTCAAGATCCAGCGGGACCCATCCACCCGTCCACATGACACCACCACCACCACCCAATGGCGGTGATCACTGGATGTCGATCACGATAAAGTAGCCGCGTCTAAATATAGCAGGGGAGTGGACTCCGTCGCTCCGACCACTTCTTAGTCTCTCGCTCTCGGCGCGCGCGGGGTGCGAGCCTAGGGAACGCGTGCCAGGCACCACTACCACGGCGCAAAATCTAGAAAACCTGGATGTCAAACTAACACGCGGTTTGCATATAAGTCAGATCATTGAGAAGAGTTCAGCACTGTCCTTCGATTCATGTCAGTTTGATGTTAAGTGTCTTGTAATGGGAATACGCTTTTTACCGAGTACAATAGAATATACACATGAGGATATACATACTATGTAGTAAATTCACCTCAACCCAAAACAAAACAACCAAGCGCGCTCGATGCCATATACTCAAACTAAGAAAAGATAAAAAGCCCCGATCGGAGCACGAATAATCCCCGTGTGAGTGTGTGTGTGCTCCCATTTCCCCCTGAATGTCTCACATCCATTTCCCAGGTCCGGGTCCGGGTCCGCGTCAGGGTCAGCCCCAATAAAGTGAACCCGCATGCGTAAATCCCACCCTCTTTCTTGGTCTACACACTGCACCAGGCTACCGAATGCGCCTGGGCTCTTGCCCCCAATGCCCAAGGCAAAGCACATTCAATTGGTAGAAGTCAGAATTCCATGTTCTCAAAGCCATGACCAATCCCAGAATCCTGGGATAACAATAACGTGGACCGGAAGTGCAAGTTTTTTTGTATTGTGTTTTCCACAAGTGGAGACCACATCTGGCTGGACCCTCTTTTTCTTCTCCCGTTTCTCATGTTTTCTAGTTTGGTCACGGAGATTAAGGGTCTATCTACCGTCTGAGGAAGAACCTTTGGAAAACGGTTCTGGATCTATTCCGTACAGAATTCACCTACCTTCTTCGGGCTGCTTTCTTTCAATGCTGCGACTGAAGGGTTAGTTCTGCAGCCAGCAGTGCTCAAAGTCGAATTGAGTTTCAGCCAAGGAGCCGCGGAATCCCAGTTTTCCCTTTCTAGGCAGATCTGACTGTTACCCATACACTAACTACCACTCACAGTTTAGCTAAGCTAGCTTGGATTACCTCAAGAGATGTAGGCTAGACCCTGATCCTCATAACTCAGAGACTAGATAGATTAGACTAGGCAGCGAGATTCGCAGACGGACTGCACTGCCAGACCACCCCGGAATTGGACTATCGGGGGCCCAACTCAAAGGGTCGAAGGGCTACAGGAACAATTACATAGTACTCCGTAGGTACTTGTTAATTATTGCTGTCCATGCCGACATGCGGAGACTTGGGCGCGGTGAACTCCGCTCCTTATTGTAGCATTCCATTGCGTGCCGGAGTTCAAATGGTATGCATAGTTAATTTCACTCGACTCAGTGCCGCCCCTGTCGCTTGGTATGTCTGGAGTCTGGAACATCAGAGACATTCGGTCCACATTGTTGGGAGCCAAGGTTCGAGGTAGACACTCGTCATAGGGTTCGTTGGGGCACTGCAGAATCTGCGATGGGAAAGCGGGAAAGTATTTGGGACAATCAAACTACCATGTTGTGACGTACTACACAAGTGCTGACAGAGCCATGCTACGATAACAACAAGTCTTTGTGGTAAGGGTTCAATTCGGTATCTGAGATCACCAGGAGCCAGAACTAAACTAGAAAGATAGGAGATGCCGCTTTGCCTGCTTAGGCTATATGCGACCGAAACATCTGTCTCATAAACATGGCATTGACTGATGCGCCGCAATGCTGGGTGCGCTGTCCCGGAACAGAAAATGACAAGGATGCGAAGAATTATAGGACATTAAGTAAAAAATAGTAAGACAACTCCGTGTCACAAATGCGCCTCCCATCCATAACCGTTCCCCCATGAGGTATCCGATTAGATCTCCTGAAAATGCATCATTCCAAAGAAGTAAGAAAGGTAAGGAAAAAAAAAAAAAAGAAAAAAAAGAAAGAAAGTACATTTTGGACAAAATGTGTAGTCGGGAAGAGAAGGTCGAATGACATATAAGAGATGAATGATCGATAGGTGGAGTTCGATGAATCCACAAGAGAGGAAGTGTGGTGGTCAGGTCGGTATATCGCGAACATGATCTGTAGGCATCTTCATACGGCCTGAGACTATGGCCTCAGGCCTGAAAAAAAGCCCTATGGCAACGACCCGATTCTTGACCGGGATTATTCCCGGACGTCGGCAGACGTGACATGGTGAGGGCCGCATAAGTGCCAAACCATGCAGTGCTTCAGTTTGAATCCTATAATAGGTGGGACCCTTCGTGTACATCGTTCATGTGACGATTTCATACATCGCGTCCAGCATAATTATATGGTCGTGTTTGTTGTATCTTGCATGTTAGCCGCAAGGCGATCGGTCGGGTTGCTGTATATGCCGACCGTAGAGCGCTAGGCCTTCGTA